GAAAAACCCTTCAAAAAATCAATAAATCCAAGAGCTGGTTTTTTGAAAAGATCAACAAAATAGACAGACCACTAGCCAGATTGATTAAAAATAAAAGAGAGAACAACCAAATAGATGCAATAAAAAATGATAAAGGGGAAATCACCACAGATTCCACAGAAATTCAAACCATCATCAGAGAATATTACAAACAACTCTATGCGCATAAACTAGTAAACCTGGAAGAAATGGATAAATTCCTGGACTCCTGTGTCCTCCCAAGCCTAAACCAGGAGGAAGCTGAAACTATGAATACACCAATAACAAGGTCTGAAGTTGAGGCAGCAATTAAGAGCCTACCTCACAAAAAAAGCCCAGGTCCAGATGGGTTCACAGCCGAATTCTACCAGACACACAAGGAGGAGCTGGTACCATTCCTTCTAAAACTATTTCAAACAATCCAAAAAGAGGGAATCCTTCCCAAATCATTTTATGAGACCAACATCATCCTGATACCAAAACCCGGCAGAGACCCAACGAGAAAAGAAAACTTCAGGCCAATATCCATGATGAACATAGATGCAAAAATCTTCAATAAAATACTGGCAAGCCGATTGCAACAGCAAATCAAAAAACTTATTCATCATGATCAAGTAGGATTCATCCCAGGGATGCAAGGCTGGTTCAACATACGCAAGTCTATCAACGTAATTCACCACATAAACAGAACCAAAAACAAAAACCACATGATTATCTCAATTGACGCAGAGAAGGCATTTGACAAATTTCAACAGCCCTTTATGCTAAAAACCCTCAATAAACTCGGTATCGATGGAACGTATCTCAAAGTAATAAAAGCTATTTATGACAAACCAACAGCCAATATCATACTGAATGGGCAAAAACTGGAAGCATTCCCTTTGAAATCTGGTACTAGACAAGGATGCCCTCTCTCACCACTCCTATTCAATATAGTACTGGAAGTTCTAGCCAGAGCAATCAGGCAAGAAAAAGAAATAAAGGGTATTCAACTAGGAAAGGTGGAAGCCAAATTGTCTCTATTTGCAGACGACATGATAGTATACCTAGAAGACCCCATCGCCTCAGCCCAAAAACTCCTGAAACTGATAAACAACTTCAGCAAAGTCTCAGGATATAAAATCAATGTGCAAAAATCACAAGCATTCGTCTACACCAATAACAGACTTAAAGAAAGCCAAATCAAGAGCGAACTGCCATTCGCAATTGCTACAAAAAGAATAAAATACCTTGGAATACAACTCACAAGGAACGTAAGGGACCTCTTCAAGGAGAACTACAAACCACTGCTCAACGAAATCAGAGAGGACACAAACAGATGGAGAAACATTCCATGTTCATGGTTAGGAAGAATTAATATCGTGAAAATGGCTATACTGCCCAAAGTAATTTACAGAATCAATGATATCCCCATCAAGCTACCATCGACTTTCTTCACAGAACTGGAAAAAACCACCATGAACTTCATATGGAACCAAAAGAGAGCCCGCATAGCCAAGTCAATTCTAAGCAAAAAGAACACAGCGGGGGGCATCACACTACCGGATTTCAAACTATACTACAAGGCTACAGTAATCAAAACAGCATGGTACTGGTACCAAAACAGAGATATAGACCAATGGAACAAAACAGAGGCACCGGAGGCAACACAACATACATACAACTATACAATCTTTGATAAACCTGACAAAAACAAGCAATGGGGCAAGGATTCCCTGTTTAACAAATGGTGTTGGGAAAACTGGCTAGCCATGTGCAGAAAGCAGAAACTGGACCCCTTCCTGACACCTTACACCAAAATTAACTCCAGATGGATTAAAGACTTAAACATAAGACCTGGCACCATAAAAACCCTAGAAGGAAATCTAGGCAAAACTATCCAGGACATAGGAGTAGGCAAGGACTTCATGAACAAAACACCAAGAGCATTGGCAACAAAAGCCAAAATAGACAAATGGGACCTAATGAAACTCCACAGCTTCTGCACGGCAAAAGAAACAGTCACTAGAGTGGATCGGCAACCAACAGAATGGGAAAAAATTTTCGCAGTCTACCCATCTGACAAAGGGCTGATATCCAGAATTTACAAACAACTCAAGCAGATTTACAGGAAAAAAACAAACAAGCCCATTCAAAAGTGGGCAAAGGATATGAACAGATACTTTACGAAAGAAGACATATATGAGGCCAACAATCATATGAAAAAATGCTCATCGTCACTGGTCATCAGAGAGATGCAAATCAAAACCACATTGAGATACCATCTCACACCAGTTAGAATGGCGATCATTAAAAAATCTGGAGACAACAGATGCTGGAGAGGATGTGGAGAAAAAGGAACACTTTTACACTGTTGGTGGGAGTGTAAATTAGTCCAACCATTGTGGAAGACAGTGTGGCGATTCCTCAAGGCCTTAGAAATAGAAATTCCATTTGACCCAGCAATCCCATTACTGGGTATATATCCAAAAGACTATAAATCGTTCTACTATAAGGACACATGTACACGAATGTTCATTGCAGCACTGTTTACAATAGCAAAGACCTGGAATCAACCCAAATGCCCATTGATAATAGACTGGATTGGAAAAATGTGGCACATATACACCATGGAATATTATGCAGCAATCAGAAATGATGAGTTCGTGTCGTTTGTAGGGACATGGATGAATCTGGAAAACATCATCCTCAGCAAACTGACACAAGAACAGAAAATGAAACACCGCATATTCTCACTCATAGGTGGGTGATGAAAAATGAGAACACATGGACACAGGGAGGGGAGTACTAAACACTGGGGTCTATTGGGGGTAAAAGGGGAGGGCCAGTGGGAGGGGGAGGTGGGGAGGGATAGCCTGGGGAGAAATGCCAAATGTGGGTGAAGGGGAGAAGAAAAGCAAAGCACACTGCCATGTGTGTACCTACGCAACTGTCTTGCATGCTCTGCTCATGTACCCCAAAACCTATAATCCAATAAAAAATTAAAAAAAAATAAAATAAAATAAAAATAAAACAAAAAAAAATAAAAAAAAAATAAAAAAAAAATCTGGAGACAACAGATGCTGGAGAGGATGTGGAGAAAAAGGAACACGTTTACACTGTTGGTGGGAGTATAAATTAGTTCAACCATTGTGGAAGACAGTGTGGCGATTTCTCAAGGCCTTAGAAATAGCAATTCCATTTGACCCAGCAATCCCATTACTGGGTATATATCCAAAGGACTATAAATCGTTGTACTATAAGGACACATGCACATGAATGTTCATTGCAGCACTGTTTACAATATCAAAGACCTGGATCCAACCCAAATGCCCATTGATGATAGACTGGACTGGGAAAATGTGGCACATATACACCATGGAATATTATGCAGCAATCAGAAATGATGAGTTTGTGTCATTTGTAGGGACATGGATGAATCTGGAGAACATCATTCTCAGCAAACTGACACAAGAACAGAAAATGAAATACTTCATATTCTTACTCATAGGGAGGTGATGAAAAATGAGAACACGTGGACACAGGGAGGGGAATACTAAACACTGGGGTCTATTGGGGAGCAAAGGGGAGGGCCAGTGGGAGGGGGAGCTGGGGGGGATAGCCTGGGGAGAAATGCCAAATGTGGGTGAAGGGGAGAAAGAAAGCAAAACACACTGCCATGTGTGTACCTATGCAACTGTCTTGCATGTTCTGCACATGTACCCCAAAACCTAAAATGCAATAAAAAATTAAAAAACAAAAAAGAATGTGATAGTTCTTCATCTTCTTTACCCCATCACACAATGACTATCACAGTCAGTTACTTTTATCTGTTAGTTTAGTCTTCAGAGGATTCTAGATACACCGCCTCAGAAGTTGGCATCTGTCTTGGAAACCTACCCTGTTAGCTCATCAGAGATATTTTTTCCCGTCCCATGCCAGGAGGAGGTCCCAAGATGATGGCCCAGGTCGCTAACATTTCTAATTTCTCAGGGCCAGTATCAATCAATCATTCCATGACTGAATACTTCGGTTGTGTCATTAATTCAGGAACAAAAGTACCAGTCTTCCGTCTATCATGTCTTCCACGAATGAGGAAGTTCTTCCACTTTCCCTCCTTCTTAAATTCTACTGATTTCCCTGAAAATCAGAAGAATTGGTTTCTTCAGATGCTTCCTATTTGCCTCACAAAACACAGAAGGTCGTTTTCTACCTTTAGTCGGCAGAGAGATTATGGTTTGTGCAAAGCCATACATGCCCACTGGATAGTCCCTCAATCCCCAAATGTGTTTTACATAATTTTCCTAATAACAATTTGATGTGAGAGACAATTTCACTTAATGCGGCTTAATGTATTGTTCATATTTTAGAGGAAATAACTTAATTTCATTTTGCTTTGTCAACAGGTATTCAGGAGAAGGAAGCCATGTAAGAAAATCATTTATATGATATAAATCCCCAAATGAGACTCTTTCATGGGGATACAATGCATTCTCACAAATGTTTGATGCAGATTAATTGAATAAATAGTTGGTCAGAGGCAGAAAGGAAAAGAGAGCCACATTCAGCGGAGTTATTATATGCAGTCCCTGTTTTCATACGATGTAGTTATTCCTCACTGAGGTGTGGAAAACTAATTTGGGAAGACCCTTGTGAACAGAAATATTATCTGCAAATATGTGAGATTATACCACCCATGTTCAATAAACTCAGTGCATGTCTTGCTCTTACTGGATCCCAATATCATTTCTACTGTACTGAGAGTTAAATAGGAGTGTTCTTGGGCATAAAGAGAAGATCTCACCTTGGACCCGAGTCTGTCCTTTATTATCTACATCAAATCACACAATAAATTGTTCTCAGCTGAAAAATTGAGGCAATAACACATGAGCATCTGCTTTCAGAATCAAATTGGATAATACATATAGCCTGCAATATGTGTATAACTCCCTTATCACGAATTCTGTAGAATAAAACAAAACACCATACAAGATGGAGGATGGTTCAGAATTTATTTAGAAACATATATGTGGGAATCTGTGCTACAAGGGACATAACCCAGAGTTATGGTAAAAAGAAGAAAGAAGGGTAAAAAACCATAAGGAGGAAATTGAAAATGAGAATATGATTGTGAATATTATGGATCAGTTGCAGAAATCTAAATTTCTGAGAAGCAGAGAATAAAGCTCTTGACTTTAGTGTCAAAGCTGAGACCAAACTGAGGACACAGGAAGCTGGCACATGATCCACAAAGCGTAAGGAAAAAGAGAATCAAGATGAAGTCCTCTGTCCTCCCTCAAGCTTATTCACAAGAATTTTAACATGCAGAAACATTATAAAAGAAATTGGTGAGAGCATTCTGTGTTTGAAAGTAAATTTGTCCCCTGAAAGATAAGTCAGTGGGGGCTGGGCAAGGTGGCTCATGCCTGTAATCCCAATATTTTGGGGGGCTGAGGCAGGTGAATCATTTGAAGTCAAGTGTTTGAGACCAGCCTGATCAACATGGTGAAACTGTGTCTCTACTAAAAATACAAAAAATTAGCCAGGCCTGTAATCCCAGCTAGCTGGGAGGCTGAGGCAGGAGAATTTGTTGAACTGGGGAGGCAGAGGTTACAGTGAGCCAAAATCATGCTACTGCACTCCAGCCTGGGTGACAGAGTGAGACTCTGTCTCAGAAAAAATAGCCAGAAGGTTGTGTGAGGATGATGGTCCTTGGCAGTGCTGATCAGCAGCAGCAAGGCCGGCAGCAGCTGGACACACAGGTGGGCTGGCAGCAGGTGGTCCTGCAGCAGGTGGTCTCACAGCAGGCTGGGCGGCAGCAGGGCTGGCAACAGCTGGATCCACAGCTCTGGTTCAGGCAACCAGGCAGAGAGACACAAGTGGGGTGGTAGCAGGTTCTCGTGCAGTACACAGGTGCACAGGAGCTGGTCTGGCCACAGCGGGACCCACAGCTGGTTTGGCCACAGCAGCTGGACCCGCAGCAGGTGGGCTGGCAGCAGGGTGTGCTGCAGCAGGAAGGCTGGCAGCAGCTGGTCACACAGGTGGGCTGGCAGCAGGTGGTCCCGCAGCAGGTGTTTTGACAGCAAGTTGGGCGGCAGCAAGGCTGGCAGCAGCTGGACACACAGCAGGAGGGCTGGCAGCAGGGTGTGCTGCAGCAGCTGGTCACACAGGTGGGCTTCCAGCAGGTGGTCCTGCAGCAGGTGGTCCGGCAGCACGTAGGCTGGCAGCAAGGGGAGCAGCAGTGGGTCATGGTGTCAGGTGGGGAGTGTGGGCTCCTGTTCAGAGGTGAGTTTCCCAAAATCTGAGAACTCCTTCCAATCTGGGCCTTTTATACATGTGGCCTCCAAAGTTTCCACCAATCAGCAGGACTTTTCCTTGTTGCTGTTTACATTGTTTTCCATAGTCCGATTGGGATTGTCTAAGGGGAAGTTGTTTTTGAAATCTTATGAATCTTTTGAAAGTAAGGGTTTAATCTGTTTCTTAATTGTGAGTTACTCATAGAAATGTTGTTTCAAGTAAAAGGAAGGCAGTCTCATCATCAGCATGCTTCCTGCTCTGACCATCATCTTGTCATGTGATAGTTCCTGGTGACCAGGGAGGCTCAGGAAGTTCTCTCTGCCCAGCCTCATCTTTTGGCTGTATGTAGACTGGAAAGCACCTGTGAGGAGAAGCATGATGCTAATATACTCACAGTGATGAATTGAATCCATGCTTGGGACCAAGACTGTTCACCCACCAATCTGATTCAATACTAACAGGCATCTCTCTCTGTACAGCTTACTTTACCTGTTTCTTCCAGTTCTATGAAGCCTCTTGGAAAGAGGGCGTTCAGCACAATGTGCTCCAGGTGGCAGAGTGGAACCCAAGCTGACAGGTAGAAAGAGGAGGAGTTCACTGGAATTCACGAAGCCTCAAGCAATCCACATGCTGGGGTGAGCATTCATCCTGATTTGTCTGGGACTGAGGGGCTTACCAGCATGTGAATGTGAGAGTGGGAATTACTGTGACATAACTGCTCTAGGTCTAGGAAAAGCAGTCTGAGCTGTGGCTCTAGTCCTAACCCAGGTTATTGACATAGTTATTGGCACCTCTCTCTTGATCTCTCTCTCTCTCTCGCTCTCTCTCTCTCTCTCTCTCTCTCTCTCTCTCTGTTTTCAATGAGGAAATTAGATGAGTTCAGGTGATAGCTGATTTCTCTTTGAGGTCTTCCATGTTTAAAACTTTTTAAGTTATACCATTTGTTTCAGAAGAATGCAAATTATTAATTAGTATCTTGATATAATATTATATTGTAAATACAGCTAGGTCTCCATTACCAGTTTACAAAATAGAAATCAATTCAGTTCCCTCCAATATATCTTCTTATTTGTCTTCAAAGGTAGCTAGTCACTCTATTAAGTTATAATCCTGAAGGTCAGTTTTGGCTTTTTCTTTGACTTGTATGTAAATAAAAATCATAGAATTTGCTTCATTGTGTTTTTGGCATAATTGAAAGCAGCAATTATAACCTGGTCATTTGGACCCTTCATGTCAGCACAGCAGCAGATAGATAAAGGAGTTACTATTTCGTGAGGATAATTTTCACAAAGCCATATAGCATAGGGAGAATGTATCTGGAACTCAAGAGATTTACTGGATATATTAATTTATTACACTGCCATGAAAAACTATGACAAATGGCTTAAATGTATGTTACAGTTCTGAAGGCTAAAATTAAGGTGTTGGCAATGCTGTTTTCCTCTGAAGGCTGTGAAGGAAGTGCCTGTTCCAGGTCACTCTCCTTGACCTGTGGATGTCTATCTTCTCCATGTGTCTCTTACATCATCGTCCCTCTCTATGCATCCTGTTTTAATTCCCCCTTTTCATTCAGACATCAGTCATATTGAATCAGAGGCACAATTTATTCCAATATTACCTCATCTTAACATATTGCATTTAAATGACCCTATTTGAATATAAATTCTTGGGGACATAACTGAACCCATAACCCTGGAGTATCTTATAGTGTGTCCATGCACAGTGATACACACAAATGAGTAACAAAAGCAACCACAGTTGGACAATGGTATAGTAACTAGAGAGTCAGATCCATTAGTCAGGAAGTTCAGAGCTACTCCTTCAGGCAATTATCTAGATCAACCAGAGTGCTGGCCAGGGGTGAAGGGAATACAGAACTGGTGGAAACTGATGGAGATTATGAATCTCAGAAGGAACCCATTACAGCAGAAGTATCTTTTCTCTTCTTTTCCTTTCTTTGCTTTTCTTTCTTTCTCTCCTTCCTTCCTTCCTTCCTTCCTTCCTTCCTTCCTTCCTTCCTTCCTTCCTTCCTTCCTTCCTTCCTTCCTATTCTCTCTTGCTCTTTTTCTTCCTATTTTTTATTGTTCTCATTTCTTTCTTAGTTTTCTTCTCCTCTCTCACCTTCTGTTCCTCCTCTTCCTCCTCCTTTTCCTCTTTCTTCTAAGGTTCATGATTGTCCACCACATTTAAGAAGCAAAGATTGGATATGAGTGGAGCAAATGATAGATCACAGACTGGTCTTCATTACCACACCTGTTTATCATGAAACCTAGTGTGCTCAGACCAATTTCCATCTGTCAGAATCTGCATCTCTGTCCCTTAGGGCTATTGTATTGCAAATACAGAAAGTCACGTCACCTGTACATGCTAGAGGGAGAAAAGCATTCAACTAATGACTCTGAGAGTGGATTTATGAAGACTCCAGCTTTCTCATTCCTGAAGTAGGACAATTCTAATTTGTGTGTTTTTCATCATTTCTGATAAATTTCCCTTTAGCTTAAGCTTCAGTTGATCTCTGTCATGGTGGCTTCATAGCCTACCCTTTTCTGTATCAGTTCCATAATCCCTCCCGGTGTGATCTGCACTTCCTGATACACGCTTTGGAACCTTTCTCTCAGACTGTCTTCTGAGAAAACTACGACATTACATTACTTCTCTTAGCCTCGATTTCCTCATGTCTATGTTTGGAACACTAATGACTATTTTGAAAGTTTGTTCAAGAATTAATGATAATGTACATAAAAGATTTAGTCAATATCCATCAAATAATAGACAACTGAAAACATATTAGTTCGTTTCTGTCCAGAAAATTCCTAAACTAATTTTAATGTTGATGATAAGAATATGTTTATAATAAATAACTAGATAAACTAACTTTTTTTCTTTTAAGTTGTGGCATGCATATGCAGAATGTACATGTTTGTTACATAGGTATACAAGTGCCATGGTTGTTTGCTGCATCTATCAACCCATCCTCTAGGTCTTAAGCCCCGCATGTGTTAGATATTTGTCCTAATGCTCTCCCTCCTTTTGCCCCCTACCCTCTGACAGGCCCTGGTGTGTGATGCTCCCTTCCTTGTATCCATGTGTTCTCATTGATCAGCTCCCACTTATGAGTGAGAACATGCGGTGTTTGGTTTTTCTGTTCTTGTGTTAGCTTGCTGAGAATGATGGCTTCCAGCTTCATCCATGGCCCTGCAAAGGACAGGATCTCTTTTCTTTGTGGCTGCATAATATTCCATGGTGTATATGTACCACATTTTCTTTATCCAGTCTATCATTGATGAGCATTTGGGCTGGTTCCAAGTCTTTGCTATTGTAAATAGTGCTGCAGTAAACATATATGTGCATGTGTTTTTATAGTAGAATCATTTATATTCCTTTGGGTATCTACCTAGTAGTGGGATTGCTGAGTCAAATGGTATTTTTGGTTTTAGATCCTTGAGGAATTTCCACACTGTCTTCCACAGTGGTTGAACCAATTTACAATACCACCAACAGCATAAAAGCATTTATATTTCTCCACAGCCTCACCAGCATCTATCATTTCCTGACTTTTTAATAATCACCATTCTGACTGGCATGAGATGGTATCTCATTGTGGTTTTAGCTTACATTTCTCTAATGATCAGTGATGATGAGAATATTTGTAAACCATACATCCAACAAAGGTCTAATATCCAGAATCTATCTACAATCTTATTAGAAAGTGGTCAAAGGACATGAACACTTTTCAAAAGAAGACATTCAAGTGGCCAAAAAGCATATGAACAAATAATCAACATCACTGATCATTAGAGAAATTCATGTTAAATCCACAATGAGATATCCTCTGACACGAGTTGGAATGGCTATTACTAAAGTCCAAAAATAAAAGATGCTGCCAATGTTTTGTAGAAAAAAAAAAAACACTTATACACTGTTGGGGAGACTGCACATTAGTTTAATCATTGTGGAAAACAGTTTTGGGATCTCTCAAAGAACTTACAATTATTATTTGACCCAGCAATCCAATTATTGGGTATATATTTTTCTACCATAATACCATATATTATGGTATTATGATACCACATATATACCAAAGGAGTATAAATTGTTCTACCATAAAGACATATGCCTGCGTATGTCCATTGCAGCACTACTCACAATAGCAAAGACATAGAATCAACTAAAATGTGCATTAAAAGTAGACTGGATAAAGAAAATGTGATACATATACAGCATAGAATACTATACAGACATTAAAAAAGAACAAGATCATGTCCTTTGCAGAAACACAGATGGAGCTGGAGGCGATTATCCCAAGGGAACTAACACAGGAATGTAAAACCAAAAACCACATGTTCTCACTTAAGAGTGGGAGCCAAACATTGAATAATATGAACACAAAGAGGGGAAAACAGACACTAGGACTTATTTGTGGGTGGAGGGTGGGAGGAGACTGAGAATCAACTGGCTCTTGGGTATTTTTAATTATTTATTTATATATATATGTTTTTATTGCATTTTAGGTTTTGGGGTACATGTGAAGAACATGCAAGATAGTTGCATAGGTACACACGTGGCAGTGTGATTGGCTGCCTTCCTCCCCTTCACCTAGGCTCTTGGGTATTATGCTTATTATCTAGGTGACAAAATAATCTGTACACCAAACCCTGCAACACACAATTTAACTATAAAATAAACCTGCACACATACCCCTGAACCTTAAAAAGAGTTAAAAATTTCTTTAATGCAGGTGAATTGAATGATTGGCTGGTATAGGCTGAGACAAAATAAAATCCCTGCATTCAGGGCAGCTGCTAAATGCAGCCCCTACTGCTGTACCATGTAGCTGTTCCTCATTGACCTGTGGGAAACTGATTTGGGAAGACCTTTGTGAACTGAAATGTTGTCTCTTGCCAAATATTAGAGGTTGTTTTTTTCCCTTGTGAGGTAAACTCAAGTGGCTAACTTGCTACTGCAAGTCCTTTCTACTTTATTGAGAGTTAAATGTAAGTGCTTTGGACAGAAAGAAAAGACGCAACCTTGGTTCCAAGTCTGTCCACTATTAGCTACGTAACATCACACATTAAATTTTTCGCAGTTGGAAAATGGAGGCAATACAACATGACTGTCTATTTTGAGAATCAAATTGGGTAATACATATAGTGTGTGATGTGTGTGTAAATCCCATATCAGGAATGCTTTGAAAGAATCCAAGACACCATATGAGATGAAGAATGGTTCTGAATTCATTTATTGAGGAGTATATAGGTAAGAATCCCTGTTTTTAGGGAGATAACCCAAAGTGATCACTAAAAGAAGAAAGGAGGATACACGAATCATGAGTACATTGAAAAGAAAACATAATCGTGAAGATTCTTGATCAGTTGCAGGAACTTAAGTTTTTTAGGGGAAGAGAATGAAGCTCTTGACTTTAGAGTCAAAGCTGAGACCATGATTCTAAATTGGGAACACATAAAGCTGGCACATGATCCACAAGGTGTAAGGAAAAAGAGAATCAAGATGAAGTACTCTGACCTCCCACAAGCTGATTGACAAGATTTTAAACATGTAGAGAATTCATAAAAATGTGGACGAGAGCATGGTTTCTGGCAGCAAAGTAAATTGGTCCCCCAAAAGATAAGTTGGTTGAGCAGAAAGCTGTTGTGTGAGGATAGTGGTTCTCTTGGGAGTTAATCAGCAGCAAGAAGGCTGGCAGCAGCTGGATCCACAGCTCTGGTTTAGGCAACCAGGAAGGCAGACACACGTGGGGTAGTAGCAGGTTCTCGTGCAGTACACAGGTGCACAGGAGCTGGTCTGGCCACAGCTGGAGCCACAGCTGGTTTGGCCACAGCAGCTGGACCCACAGCAGGTGGGCTGGCAGCAGCTGGTCACACAGGTGGGCTGGCAGCAGGTGGTCCTGCAGCAGGTGTTTTGACAGCAAGTTGGGCGGCAGCAAGGCTGGCAGCAGCTGGACACACAGCAGGAGGGCTGGCAGCAGGGTGTGCTGCAGCAGCTGGTCACACAGGTGGGCTTCCAGCAGGTGGTCCTGCAGCAGGTGGTCCGGCAGCACGTAGGCTGGCAGCAAGGGGAGCAGCAGTGGGTCATGATGTCAGGGATGGAGGGTGGGCTCCTGTTCAGAGGTGAGTTTCCCAGAATCTGGTGACTCCTTCCAATCTGGACCTTTTATACATGTGGCCTCCAAAGTTTCCACCAATCAGCAGGACTTTTCCTTGTTGCTGTTTACATTGTTTTCCACAGTCTGTTTGGGATTGTCAAAGGGGAAGTTGTTTCTGAACTCTTATGAATCTTTTGAAACTAAAGATTTAATCTGTTTCTTAATTGTGAATTATTCATGGAGATGTTGTTTCAGATAAAAGGAATGAGGTCTCATCATCAGCATCATTCTTGCTCTGACCATCTTCTGGTCATGTGATCATTCCTAGTGACCAGGGAGGCTCATGAAGTTCTCTTGCCCAGCCTCACGTTTGGCTGTGTGTAGGCTGGGCAGTGTCTTTGGGGAGAAGCATGATCCCGATATATTTACAGTGACAAAATGAGTCCATGCCTGGGCCCAAGACTATTCACCAACAAAATTCTAATTCAAGACTAACATGCATCTCTCTGCAACCTATACCACCTGTGTCTTTTGATTCTGTGAACGTCACTTGGGAAGAGGGTGCCTGGCACAGTGTGTTCCATGCACGTGGCAGAGCTGATCAAGCGTAGGTGGATGCAAAGAGAAATCCACTGGGATTTTGGCAGTATTAAGCCATCTATGCCCTGGGGTGACCATTCATTCTGACTTGTCTGGGAGTGTGGGGATTACCAGAATGAGAATGTAGCACTTTCTATGACATAACCGCTTTAGATTCAGGCCAACCAGCATGAGCTGTGGTTCTGGCCCTAACCCTGGTTACTAGCACAGGTAGTGTCATTTCTTCTCTCTCTCTATTTCCTTTGAATGGAGGAATTAGATGAGTTGAGATGATACCTGATTCATCTTGGAGTTCTGACATGTTTAAAACATTTTTTAGATATACCATTCACTTCAGAAGAATGCAAATTATTAATTTCTAACTTGATATAACATTATGTTGTAAACACACCTATGTCCCCATTACGAGGTTAGGAAATAGAAATTAATCCCCTTCTCTCCCAATTATATTCTCTTACTCATTCCCAAAAACAGCTAATCACTCTATCAAGTTGTAATCCATTAGGTAAATTTTAGCTTTTTAAAATTTTCATGTGAATAAAAATGATGGGATTTGCTTCTCTATTTCTTTGGCATAATCAAAAGTAATCGTTATTGCTTAGTCATTTTGGACTCTTCGTGTCAGCAGACCAGCAGACAGAGAAAGGAGTTACTATTTGGTGAGGAGTAAGTATCCTCCAGCCACCTATTGCAGGAGAATATAGCTCAGGAGATTTACTGAATGTATTAATTTACTAGCACTGCCATAAACAAATTACTGCAAACCAAGTGACTTAAATTTGTTTTGTCACAGTTCCAAAGGCTACTAGTCTAAAATTAAGGTGCTGGCAATGTTGTTTCCTTTCTTTTTTTTAAAAAAAATTATACTTTAAGTTGTGGGGTAAAACTGCAGAATGTGCAGGTTTGTTACTTAGATATACACATATCATGGTGGTTTGCTGCACCCATTAACTCATTATCTACATTAGGTATTTCTCCTAATGCTATCTCTTTCCTACCCCTCCTACCCCCTGACAGGCCCTGGTGTGTGATGTTCCCCTCCCTGTGTCCATCTGTTCTCATTGTTCAACTCCCACTAATGAGTGAGAACTGGCAGTATTTGGTTTTCTGTTCTTGTGTTATTTTGCTAAGAATGATGGTTTCCAGCTTTATTCATGTCCCTGCAAAATACATGAAGTCATCTTTTTTATGGCTACATAATATTCCATGATGTGTGTGTGTCAGGGAATGCTGTTTTCATCTGAGGTCCATGAGAAAAATTCCAGCTCTCTCTCCTTGACTTGTAGTTGTCTATCATTTCCATGTGTGATTGACGTAATTTTTCTACTATCTGCAGACTGTCTCTGAATTTCCCCCTTTTATATAGACATCAGTCATATTTAATCACAGGCCCAATTGTTTCCAACATGACCTTGTCTTATTATATAATATTTAAAATGATTCCATTTGAATATGAATTTTGGGGGACACAAATTAACCCATAACACTGGAGAATCTCATAGTGTGTCCATACCCAGTAACAACCACAAATGAGTAAAAACGGGAATCACAGTGGACAATGGTATAGTAACTAGAGGCTCAGACGCTTCAGGAAGGAAGTTCTGAGGTATTCCATCAGGCAGTTATCTAGACCAACAGGAGTGCCGGCCAGGGGTGAAGAGAGAATAGAACTGGTGGTAATTAATGGAGTTCATGAATCTCAGGTGCAAATAGCAGCAGTAAGTGTAGCTTATTTCATTGACCTTCATTTTATATCTTCCTCTCCTTTCTTTTCCTTTTCTTCTTCCTTCCTTTTTTCCTTCTGATATATTTACTTTTTCTTTCCTTCCTCCCTCCCTTCCTTCCTCCTTCCTTTCTTCTTCCTCGCTTTTCCTCTCTCTCTTTCTTGCTTGCTTTCTCTCTCTTTCTTTCTTCCTTTTTTCTCTCTCTTTCTTTTTTCTTTTCTCTTTCCTTCTCCTCTCATCTTCTGTCCCTTCTCTTTCTCCTCTTCCTCTCCTCCTCATTTTCCTTCCTCTAGAGCTTGTGGCTGTCCATGACATTTAAGTAGCAAAGATTTGACTTGAGTGGAGCTAATTGTAGACTGTAGAAAAGTTTTCATGACTGCGCCCATATAACTTGGATCTTAGTGTGCTTGGACTAATTTCCAGAATCTGCATCTCTGTGCCTAAGGACTCTTGTATTGCAGCTATAGAAAGTCATGTCACCTGTGCATGACACACAGAGGAAAACACTCAACCAATGATTCTGGAGTGCTGATTTATGAAGACTCCAGCTTCCTCATTCCTGAAGTAGGATAATTCTAGCTGTGTCGTTTTCATCATTTCTGACAGTTTTCCCTTTAGTTTAAGCTTCAGTTGGTCACTCTGATATTGGCTTAATAGTGTACCATTTTCTGTATCACTTCCCCAATCCCCACCAGTGTAATCTGCACTTCCCAACTGCTTTCACTAGGATCCTTTCCTCAGTGTCTCTTCTGAGAGAAACTAAACTATGACATTGTATTAACTCTCTTAGTCTCAGTTGTCTCATCTCTACGATGAGAACATTAATACCTATTTTGAAAGTTTGCTAAAGAGTTAATGTTCACAAAGCATTTAGCCAATACCCACCATAGAGTAGGCAACCCAGAACATGCTGGTGTTTTTTGTTCAGAAAGTTCCTAATTTTAACCTTGAAGATAAGAATGTTTTTATAATAATTAATGGATCAACTAGATACTTTTTTCCTAGCTGTACTGAGGAATAATTGACAAATAAAAATTATTCATATTTCAGGTATACAAGGTGATCTCTGATATATATATATATATATATTCATTGTGAATAACATCTTTATCAGCTCGTGTAGTCACCATTTCTTTTTTATTTTTATGGTGTGAACATTTAAGATCTACCTTCTCAGCAAATTTCAAGTATATGATAAAGTATTTTTAGCTGTAGTCACATTACCGTACAGTAGACATGCTGAGCTTATTCATCTTGCATAGCTAATGTTAGTCAAAGAGAATGTCCTAGTTCTCATCTCCTTTACTTCATCACTGAACGATGATCACCGTAAGCGGTCCTTGTCTCTTAGCCAAGTCTTCAGAGCATTCTAGATTCACAGTCTCAGAAGTCGGCATCTGCCATGGAAATCTACATTGATGGCTCATCAGAGGTATTTCTACCGCTCCCATGCTGGTAGGAGGTCCCAAGAAGGTGACCCAGGTCTCCAATTTTTCTATTTCTCTCAGGGCCACGATTAATCAATCCTTCCATAAGTGAATGCTTAGCCTGCATCAGCTCAGGACCAAAAGCACTAACCTCTGTCTATCATGGCTTCTACGTATGCACAAGTTCTACTTTTCTCCTTTCTTACATTCTTCTGATTTCCCTGGAAACACAAGATTTTAGTTTCTTTAGATGCTTCATGTTGGCCTCATGAAATGGAGAAGTTTGTTTTATTCCCTTCCTTGGCTCAGAGATTATGGATTGTGCCAAGTCTTACATGCCCATTGCATAGTTTCTCAATTCCCAGCTTTGTTCTTGATTTTCCTCATAACATTTCAATTAGGAGACAGATAGTCTTCATGTGGCATAATGTGTGGTCTGTATTTTACAAGGAATAACTTAGTTTTCTTTACTTTGTCAATAGATATTCAGGAGATGAGGGCCATATAAGAATTCTATTTACATGATACCAAGAATAAGTCCCTTCAATTGAGACTCTCTCTCATGAGGACACAATCAATTCTCAAGCATTTTTTGATGCAGATGAATTGAATGAATGGCTCGTCAGAGGCTGAGATAAAAAGAGATCCTGCATTCAGGGCAGCTATTAAATGCAGTCCCCGCTGCCATATCATGCAGCAGTTGCTCACTGAAGTGTGGGAAATGAATTTGGGAATATTTTTGTGAACAAAAATGTTATCTGCAAATATGAAGGATTATTCCTCTTATTGTTAAACAAACTCAAGCGCATGTCTTGCTAGTGCTGACTTTCAAGGTCATTTCTACCTTATTGAGAGTTAAATGTAATTGTCCTTGGGCAGAAGGAAAGGACCTCATTTTGGATCAGACTCTGTCCTTCTGGTTTTTTTTTTTTTTTTCTTTTTGAGATGGAGTCTTGCCTCCCAGGCTGGAATGAAGTGGCACAATCTTGGCTCCCTGCAACCTCTCCCTCCTGAGTTCAAGCAATACTCTGCGTAAGCCTCCTGAGTAGCTGGGATTCCAGGCACCCACCGCCATGCCTAGCTGATTTTTTTTTGTTTTTAGTAGAGATGGAGTTTCACCATCTTGGCCAGGCTGGTCTTGAATTCCTGACCTCTTGATCCACCCTCCTTGGTCTCCTAAAGTGCTGAGATTACAGTGGTGAGCCACCATGCCAAGCTGAGTCTGTCCATTATTGCCACATAACATCACACATTAAATTGTTCTCAGATGAAAAA